CGCGATTCCTGTCGGACTGTTTCCAGCCCTAGCTCTGCCGTGCCGAGGTAGGGGAAGTGTCTCCGGGTGCTTTGCAAAGAGCCCTGGGGGAAGGCTGCGCGGGGAGGGGACAGGATGGGACCCAGGAGTCCAGACAGGCACCTCTGTGCCCTGGCAGCCTGCCCGTCAAGGGGAATCCCTGAAAGGAAGTGAAAAAACCTGTTTGCAGGTGGCCTTCCTAAGCAAAGGTGTCACTGTTGCGGTTTTGCCCGTTTGGGGCTCACTTAGCATCTCCAGTATCGCAGAGACGGTACCAGGTAGGCTGTGCAGGGCAGGCTGCAGCAAGGCGTCTGCAAGCGTCCAAGCTGTGGCACTAGTGCAGTCCTGCTGGGGACCTGAGTTTTGTAGTTAATATTATTCTCTTCCGCTTCGGCTGCTTTTGTTTGGGAAGCAAATGGGCCTTCAGCTGCGTTGCATTGCCCAGTTACCTCGCACAGCCGGGATCTAATTACCTCGGGAGCCCTGTCTCCGAGTGGCACCGAGCCTTTTGTTTTTAATGACTTGCTCCAGGCGTGTTAAGAGCCTTACGGTGACAGAAAGGCTGCCAGGACCGGCGGCGGCTGCCACCGGCCGCGTTGTTCCCCGATAGCTGCAGCCTGGCTGTAAAAGCTGACGCGGAGTCAGGACGTCTCGGGCTGCGCACGCACGGCTCCCGGGACGCAAACAGAATAAAAGGGTCTAGCGGTTAACGTGGCTCTTAACACGGAGCTTGTCCTTCCCTATCGCCAAACTGTGGCCGTGTCTCTGTATTTTAAGTGCTTTTCCTCTCTCCGGGGCAAAGGGCTGGCGAAATCCGCTGGGGCAGCCCCGAGCCGAGCAAGGGCGAGCGAGCTGCCGGAAACGGGGGCGAAGCAGGGCTCTCGCCTCATCCTCGCGCCACGCGCTATCTCGGCCTCCGGTTAATGTTTACACGGCAGGTCCAACGCCGTACCGATCTGTCCAAAGACCAGCGCCCTCCCGCGAAACCCGCTTCCGCCTGGCTGGGGAAAGACCCTGAAACCCAACAGGCGTTAGCGTGCACGGAGCAACAACCTGGCCGCCCGCTGCCTCCGTAACTCTACCGCCGCGGCTCTTCCTTCGCAGGTGCGCCGGGGCGAGCGCTGGGACCTCGCCAGCGCCCGGCCGCCCCGGCATCTCCCCTTCCAGGTGCAAGGTAGGGGCCAGGGCGAGGGCGGGAGAGGAGGCCGGCCGAGGAGCTCCTGCTTTGGTTTGCTTTCTGTGTTTAATTGCATCGAGGTCATTCCCTACTGCTGTTATCTGTGGCAGATATTTTTCTGCCTCTCACCAGGCCAAGCTTACGGTTTTTCCTCCAGGCGATAGTTACCCAGCAGCTAAAATCTTTGTGTATTAACAATGCACTGAGAAGTGTCTGTTTTGTTAGAAATGGTTGCAGGGTTTTGTTTTGTTTTGTTTTGTTTTTTAAACAATATTGTTATACTCTAGAAGAAGCAGCTTTCCATAGATTAGCTGAAAAGAGAGGCCAAACCCGGCAGTTTATGCATCTCTCGGCCTTGAGATACAAACCTGCCCTATAAATGAGAGCATATTATCAGGTTGGTCCTGTTGGTCCCTGCTGCCCGCAGATGCAGGGTACGTGGTGGCTGGGGGGGCCCCGCCACCCCCCGCCCTGGGGCAGCCGCTTCGAGGCGGTTGAGCGTCCCAGAAGCAGCAACGCATGCTCAAGAGCAGCCCATGAGCCCGTGAGAGCCTTGTCCGGGGGGCTGCTAAAACCCGAAAGGACCGCAGGACACAATGGGTGAGTGAGCTGGAGAGATGCCCAAGCACCTCGGCGTCCCCAAGGAGGCAGCAGGACTCCGGTGCGGGGGTGGCAGGTGCTGCCTGGGTCTTGGCTGCTGGCCTCCTTCCTCCCCTGGCCAAACAGCAAGAGCAGAGCGGTCTCGGATGGCGGGACGCCCGCTTCCCCTTGCTCCTCCAGAGGAGCTGCTGGCTGCCTCTGCCCTTCAGGGTCTCTGGGCTGAGTTGCTGGGGCTGTTGGCGGACTCCAAGTCCCCCATCGTCCCAAAATGGCCAAGGTTTTCCTGCTGGCTGGAAGCTCTGGGTGATATCATGCCTTGGGCTTCCCAAGCAGCCCGTGTTTACCCCTAGCAGGGGACTGACCGTTAGGAAAGGAGACAAAATTTGAGGGGGACCACAAGGGTCTTGGTGTTTCCTGGACTCCCCAGGAGACGGCGATGTGTTTACACACTATCTGCAGTGTCCCTACAGGGACAACAGGGCCTTGATGGCTCATTGATAAGGGGCTCACTTCAATCATGAGTGAGGGGTGATTTTTATCCCTTAAATCTCTGATTCTTGATGGAAAAGGGTCCTTGAGCCACAAGTATGAATTCAGAGGAGCTCGAGCACAGGCAGATCTTTCCCTGCGTCAAGCAAAATGAGAAAGGCTAGGAAGAAACGTGTGTTTTGGGGGATGCAAGGACCACATGCAACTCCTCGGAGTAACAAAGATCTATTCTCAAAGGATGGTTGAATTTTCCAGTTGGGAGAAGCAGACCCTGCTATGGTGGTTTGCAAGAGGCTCTGATGGTGCCCTGATGGCACCCTCAAAATAGCCTGAGGAGGCGAAAAAGTCATGGTAGGTATGTCCATGCTACGGCAGTCACAGCCTTCACCCTTGCTCTCCCCTTCCCGCAGATGAGTAACGCCACGCGTGCCCTGCCCTCTCCCATGGCACCTGGCATGGATCCTGGGATGGCCGCGGCACCCGGCCCCCCAGCCCTGACCGTCTTGGACAACTCCCTGCTTGTGGCCTCCCACAACAACTCCCAGGACAGCGGGCAGCTCTTCCTGACCACGGCAGCGGCACAGGTTGTCTCCGGCCTCTTCGTGTGGTCGGCGCTGATCATCACCTTCCACCAGGTAAGGGCGGCCCCATGGGTCTCAAGCCCTCAGCACTTGGGTTAATGCTAAGGTAAAACCTATTGATTGCCTATGGGCTCGTGGCAAGTCATTCTTGTCCCTCCCTCAGCCCTGGATAAATATTGCATCATGCTGGCGCTGGTGGTCTAGTGTTGCTAGCTGCAGTCGAGGCAATCCTGGGCTGGGTTGCTCCTCGGAGAGGATGTCTCCACTGTCAGGAGCCAGGTGTTTGCAGCTCAGGAGGGTAAACTTTGCCCAGCTGTGCTGCTGCAGGAGCTTCCTCGAGCCGGAAGAGAGCTGGGACCTCAGTGCTGCCCAGAGGCAAGCGCCAAATCTGAAGCTCAGCTGCTTTTCTCCCCTCTCCTCCCTTGCCTGCCGCACAACGACGTGCCGGCGCTGTCCCTCCGGACATCCTCCCTGGGTTGTCCTGAAATGCTGTGCCAGAAGGCATGTTTTCGGTGTTGCTGTGGATCTGCACCACTGAACCCAGCGGGACTGTGCCGGAGCAACGCAGTCACCTCCGAGAGCCAAACAGCCTGGACCTCCGCAACGGCCGGTCCCTGGAATGGGGCTGCCCTGAAGGTGGCACCGAGGGCAGCATAGGCTGGTCCTGGTGGCTATGAGATGCTTCCCTCCCTGCAAGTGTACAGCCCTGCTCCCTCCTGGCCTATTGGGCAGTGCTGCAGGGCAGAGATCGCCCCAGGTATTGGGATGGAGATGGGATTGAGTGTGTCTTCCCTGAGACAGGTCTGAGGTGGAAGCCAGCCGGAGGAAGGCAGCGTAGGAGGAGCCTCCTGCAGCCCCTGGGTGAGGGCAGGGCTTCCCTCCTCTCTGATCTGCATGTTGGATGTGCTCTCCCTCTTTGCAGATCTACATGCACCTGAGGAATTACACCATCCCCAAGGAGCAGCGATACATCATCCGCATCCTCTTCATCGTGCCCGTCTATGCCTTTGACTCCTGGCTCAGCCTCCTCCTCCTCGGGAGCCACCAGTATTACGTGTACTTCGACTCAGTGCGTGACTGCTATGAAGGTGAGCACGGGGGTAGACAACTATGGCAGGGTTGCTAACAACGAAATGGGACTCATCTCCTTAACACACTGCTTGTGTCTCTGGAGCATCCTGGATTGCACAAAGTGGTAAATCTTCTCTACCCCTCTCACTTCTTCCGATGTGGAGGCTTTACCCTTCCATGCCCCTCAGCGGCATGTCTGACTGCATGGGTGAGGTGAGCTGCAAAAACTTCGCCTCTAACTTCTGTTCTCACAGTCCTGCCCAAATTTTTACCATATAAAACTGAGTCTTCAGTGGGATTTGGGGCAGGGAGGGAGGGTGCTCATGGATAGACACAAGCTGGTGCCTTTCAGTTGCTGGCTCACAGGCTCAAAGGGAGCCCAATATCTATCTGTTCATGCTGTACAGGGAAAGGGTTTTCCAGCTCCCTTTGAGGTAGAAAAACCTGAAAAGGAAGGTAAAGTTGTCTGGAGATGCATAGCTTTACCTAAGAAATTGAGGAAGCTAGGATGTTTTGAGGGAAGACTGTAAGAGTCGAGACTGATCTTCGACCTTGTTGCCCTCCTACCAGGAAATGGAGGATTGTGGACACATGTATTGCGTTGGGTTTGGAGCAAGGGAGCTTGAAAAGTGAATGACGGGGACTAAGAAAACTCTGAGGTCACTGAGCAGGAGGAGAAGTGAACTAACTGCAGATGAGCTGCGGAGAGCATCCCAGAGCCAGTTTCTTGCTTTCCAAGACCACACAATGTGCTCTTTGCTGAGCACACGAGCTGCCCTTTCGCATTTCTGAGGTCCTTCCACGAAGGCTGTCTCCAGCCAGTGCATTTCTGCCTCGCCTTGTGTGGCTGTGCATGAGGGCCGGCACTGCTGGGACATCCGGCTGCATGCACATGCACTGCACAGAGGGTCTGTGTGTGCAGAGCAATTCTGTTGTGTCCGCAGCACAACGCGCTTACTCTGAGCACATACTGCTGTGCGTCTGACTCTGCTTGGAAGCACCTGCCTTGCTGAGCGGGTGCTGTGGATTTGACCTGCTGCTCCTCTCACTGGGCTCCCATGCACGTGGAAACCCTGACCAATGTCCCAAATCCTCAGGCTCTGCCTGGATGCTGTGCTGGGGCAGATGAGAAAACATCTGAGCAGAAAGGGATGTGCAATGTAACGTAACAGCCCCCTGGTTCTCCGTCAGCCCTGCTGATCCCGTCTGTCCTTGCCTTGCCAGCTTTTGTGATTTATAGTTTCCTGAGCCTGTGCTTCGAGTACCTCGGCGGGGAGAGCACCATCATGACAGAGATCCGAGGGAAGCCCATTGCGTAAGTCGTGGCATGCCACGAGTCCCTTAGCCCTCCACTCACTGTCCCCACTGATCAGCCCCAATGGCTGCTCCTTGGGTTTTGCTTCCAGGTCCAGCTGTTTTTACGGAACGTGCTGTCTGCAGGGCATGTCCTACTCTATTGGGTTCCTGCGCTTCTGCAAGCAGGTGGGTACCTGGCAGGGAGCCCTCTGGCCTCTGGTACTCTGGGTGGCTACCTCCATGCAGATCCCTTCCCCGCAGCCTTACCAGGGGGGCTCTGCTGCCCTGTTCTTTGGAGTTTTTCATTTTTTCCTCTGAGGGAGGCAGCTCACCCAGCTCTGCAGGCGCCTGGCCAGCAGCAGGGTACTGCACTCCTTGTCCCTGCCTCTGACTCACTGCTGAGTCAGGGTCTCCTCCCACTGCAGAACTGAGATTTTATCTCTGTCCAGGCCTAGGTTAGCCCAGATGGCTTTCTAGCTCTCCAGGGCTCTGCTGCAAGCCGAATCCTGGCACTGGTTTATCCTCAGGCCACCAAGTCTCACTCCTGGGAGTGGATATGCTGTCTTTTGTGGCAGCTTCGGGGACAGAGTCCTGCTTCTTTGCTGCAGAGCTGCAGACCAAAGCTGGTTCATATTTCACGCTCTAGTGTTGGTCACTCCCGCCTCCTCAGGCCCACACAGTGGAGAACTCACCTTCTCTGTGTCGCTCTGTCCCAGGAGCAGAGAGGTTGGCTGATGGGTAGCAAGTTCTGCCCCCGGCCAGGAGCATGTCAGGATGTCCTCCCACCCGGGGTTGCATGGTGTCTCTCTCCCCTGTGCAGGCCACACTTCAGTTCTGCATCGTGAAACCCCTCATGGCCATCATCACCATCATCCTGCAGGCGTTCGGGAAGTACCACGATGGGGACTTCAAGTGAGGAGGCTGGGCCTGGGGGGTCAGGGAGGAGGACGCTCACCTATCTCGGGTGAAGGGGAAGGTCCTTGCTGCATCCCTGGAGACAGGCACCTTTCTGTGAGCACTTCCCCAGGGAGCTGCTCCACCGCTTGGTGGGAGCCTAAGCAGCCCAAAGCACAGGAGAACACTTCCCATCCCTGAATGCGCTGGGGACCCAACTCCCGCGGGCTGTAATAAAGAAGGCCCCGCTAACAGAGAAAAGGCCAACTGGGGCTCACTGCTCCCCATGTTTCCTTCTGCCTCTCTTTCCCCGGCTAGATTGTGCCTTCCCTCCAATCCCTGTGATGAAGCCATGCACTTCCCAGAAAATCCTCATCCCTGACATGGCATCTGACCTCCTGCCTGCTGTGAGAGCCCTGAAAACCACCAGGGCAGCCCAGCCTTAGCCCAGCCCAGCTTCCATGCAGCTGTCAACCCCAAGGAGATGCCACAGCCAAGCATGACCACTGTGTCTGCGCCTCTTGCCAGAGCTATGGCTTCTGCTGCCTCCTCCCCCCTCTTCCCTCTTCCCCTCCCGGCGACTCTGCTGCCAGTCGTGCTCACTCTCTGCAGCCCAGGGCAGCAGCACTCTCTCTTCACAGTGTTCACAGTGGCTACCTCTACATCACCATCATCTACAACTTCTCCGTTAGCCTTGCGCTTTATGCCCTCTTTCTCTTCTACTTTGCCACTATGGATCTCCTGCGCCCGTTTGAGCCAGTCCTCAAGTTTATCACCATCAAGGCGGTCATTTTCCTCTCCTTCTGGCAAGGTGGGTCCCTGCCACGGGTGTTCAGCACTTGTCTCGTAGCACCACACTGGCTGGGATGCAGCCTGTGACTGGGGGTGCACAACCAGAGCTGATCTCTCTCCTTGCACCTCACAGGGACACTACTGGCAATCCTGGAGAAATGTGGGGTGATCCCTGAAGTTCAAATTATTGATGGGAAGGAGGTGGGAGCTGGGACAGTGTCTGCTGGCTACCAGAACTTCATCATCTGCATTGAGATGCTCTTTGCCTCCATTGCTCTGCGCTATGCATTTACTTGCCAGGTGTACAGAGAGAAGAAAGAAAATTCAGCAGGTAACTCCTCTTCTTTTCCTTCCTTCACTGGTGAATAAGGAAGGAGGAGAACCCCCTTACAGTATGGTGAAAACCACTACAGGAATTTTCTTCTCTTGTATTCCATGAAATTCCTCTCCTCCCTTCTTCGTGATATCCGTGAGCCACAGTGAATGGTTGGAAAAAGAGACCAGAATAAGGGAATTTTGGTATTATGGCTGGAGAGGAACCATCCTCTTAAAAGCAACTCGGAAACATGGAGCTGGGGTTTCCTTCCTGCTCCTCAGTGCTTGCCACCTCTGACCCATAGGGAGACATGGCCTTGATCTCCAGTTTCTAAGGAAACCAGGCTAAAAAATGTTCCTCCAGTCAACACGCTTGGAGCGCCCAGGCTTGGAGCTCTCTGACCATGTCCCAGTGCTTTAATGTATCACTGGATAAATATCTTCATCCTTTCCTGTACTCTGGCTGCCTGTGGCCAGTGGGCAGTGTCCGCTCTCTCATCACTGGCACTTCTGCTCTCCCTTTTTTTCAGCAAACCTTGCCCCAATGCAGAGCATCTCGAGTGGGCTGAAGGAGACCATGAGCCCCCAGGATATTGTGCAGGATGCAATTCACAACTTCTCGCCCACGTACCAGCAGTACACCCAGCAGTCAATGCAGGAGGCAGAGCACAAAGCATCTGGGGAAAACGGGCATGTGGTGTCCAAGGCAGAGGGAATGAGTGGCAGAAAGAGCAAAAACATTGAGAAAAGAGTGCTGATCCTGTCGGATGAGGAGCTGTAGGAGACACCAGAGGGGACACTGACGAGGCTTAAAGCCATGCAAATGAGAACTGTCTCGAGGCTAAGACAACCTGGTCTAATCAGAGCACAGAGAGCAAAAGAGGTAGGCCAGGATAGCTCATAAATCTCCTCAAAAAGCCTGTCTCTTGAAGGGAAGATGCAACAACCCAGGGAAAAGTTAAATCAAATAATGCCAGCTTCTACTGTTCCACCTCTACTGGTATCAGAGATTGGGCTGTCTTTGCTCCTACGCCTGTGACTGTGCTTCGCCTGCCCCACTGCCGGTATTTGGTTGACAGTCTAATGCCTGTATCCACACTCTGGGGGTGCTGTGCAGGGACGTGAGCCAGACTCCCAGGCATCCCTGTAAGTGCTAGAAGATGGACTAACTGCCCTCACTCTCCTCTTGTCCACAAAGAGTGCTGAGGCCTGAGAGAAATGCTTTTCTCAGCACAGTTCTGCTCTAGTTTCTAGAGAGTTCCGTAAAAATGATCTCTAAGGACTTTGTGGAGAAAAACAGACCAAGAAGGTGACTTCACTTCACCTCAAAACCCGGTAATGTTTTATAGATGTTATTCTTTACTTTTATATACTTTCCCCTCCTCCCCTTCCCCCAGAGAAGTCTGAGGAGTTGTAGAGCAGACCTTTACCAGGGAAGGAGAGTTGATCATCCTTTTCTCTCTCCTGTTGGGGATGCAGCTGCCTGAAATAGTAATCCCCCCAGGGAGTGATGGTAGGAGGATACTTGGGGCTAAAGCAAGGTCTTGCAGCTGCATTTGAGAGCTGTTGGTGACAGAACCTCTTGTTTATGTCTAAACCGACTTATCTCCGAAGCGATCAGAAGTTAAAAGGGATTCCAGTTTCCTTATCGGAGTGGTTATTAGGGAACCAGACTGTGACTGCTGGTGGTAGGAATGTACTTGCTGGAAACTGTCTGTTCTTCCTAACCCCTTTCTAGTTAATGTCCCTATCCTCGCCTTCAGGAAACAAGTCCTGTAGCTGGGTGCGTTACAGCCGCGCGTCAGAGCTGAGCACAAGAATTAGCTGATGTTGGAAAAACTCATGAGTGCGGTGGCACTAGGGCTGCACGTGAACCATTTCTTGGCCTCAGCACCTCCGTGCGCCTGCAAGAGAGGCTTTGCCCAACCTGGGGGAGCCAAGACCAACTGGGCTAGCGGCAGCAGGAACAGGCCTGGCCGCTGCTGCTGTCGCTCGGGGCAGTACTGCTTGCAGGAAACAACATGCTGTACTGAAGGGTTGGATGGATTTTTTCCCCCCCATCAAACAGTGGTAAAGAGCACGCATTCTGTTAAACTTCCTCTCTGTGGGTTTTTCTTTTTTTCCTCAGGCTAGTCTAAGACCTAATGCTGTTAATCAGATGATTTCTGGGAACTTATTTGGGAACTGGCTAGAGTATTGTTTCGGGGTGGGTGGTAGCTGGGTAATGAAAGGACAAGGGCAAGTCTACAACCTCAGATTTGCAATCATGTGGCAAACAAACCTATGGGTAAGGCTTATAGCCATTTTACACTCAACTCCTAGCGTGGGGGTTCCCCCCCCCCCCGCTCTTGAGCTGCAAAGTGTAAATTGCAACCTGAAATGATTTTATTTATGATTTTTTTTCTAATAAACAGCAATTTCTACTATGGAGTAAACAAGTGTTTTCACTTTCTTAGCTCAGAGAGCAAAGCCCCGTAATCTGCCCGTTTCTGCTCTAACACTGATGCTCTTAAGCTCAATATCCTCCCTGCCCCTTGATGCTGGGACAGCAGAAATATCTGCACACGCAGCATCCTGCACATCTCAGTATTGCCAAGGTTTTATGCTCCTCTCTCTCACTCCACAAACAGTAGTGTGCTTCCCTCTCCCCCTCCTCGCATTGTGCCTGACCCTTTCCTAAGCTGTGGATGCAGCAGTTCAGAGTTGCTGAATCCTCTTTAGCCAGGCTGAGCACAGATTCCAGCAGCAAGGAGACAGAGTCTATTTATTATTATCAGAGAAATCTTATAATGCCGGAAGACTGGGATCAACAACACTGGCAGGCGGTAGCTAAGCCAGTCTTGCAAGTCCCTCTGCGCTGAAGAGCCACTGCTCATACCAGCTCAGCTGGTGAAACTGCTGTCACGTTTTCTGTGACTAGATCCATAAACAAGAGTCATACACTCTGCAAATCCTGGCTCTGGGAGCAGACGTGACGTGCAGCTTCAGTACTTGGGGACAAGGCTGCTCGGCTTTATGACACAGCCATCAACGAAGCAGCAAAGTCTCTGAGCTGAACATCTTGGTCTTCTCTATGCCTCTGGAGAGTTTGCACAGCTGCATGGAACAGAGGCTGCTCCATCTCATGGGGTGAGGACAGACTGCAAAGGTGATGATGGCACATCTGTCAGTGTGCTCACAGCCGCTGAGATAAAGACTTGCACAAGAACACAGCAAGAAAAGTAATTGTACTTCATTGCACAAACGATCAACTCCAGTGCATAATGGGCTGCATTCATTGCTCTTGCCAGCAGGTGCAATTCCCACTGCAAACAATAACAATTGCCTATTTATGTCAAGCCCTGATTACTGTATTATATGTAAAACAGGTCTTTCTCGCAAGCAAAACAAGAAAAAAAAAAATCAGCTGTGACTCATCCAAGTCAGCAGTGTGATACCAGCCTGAAGGAGCCGTGTCGGGCTGGACACCAGCTGGCTGCTGTGCTGTGCAACAGCAGGCGAAGCTTCCTTCTCCAGCAGGCGCAAGCTTGGCTGCCTGGTTGTTCTTATTCTGGGAGAGGGGAGAGAGCTCGCAGATCAGTCTGGGTGCTGTCGCTGCACTCAGAACGTTACGCTGTCAAAACACATCAACAGAGAACAGAAGCGCTAAAGGTGGCTTAGGCTGAATGTCTCCCCTAGCAGCTAGGGGAGACGTGTGCTCATACACTAGAAAGCCTCCTTTCAATAAAAATACAGCGAAAGCTGGAGGTAACACACAACGGTTGACCTACACACATGCCTGCCTCTGTGCCTGGCTCCATGCCAGCAGGCAGCTTTGGAGGAACAGGCTTTTCTCACTGCCAGCAGCAGGCTCCAGCGGTCAGCAGATTTGTTTTCCAGTTTTCACTTGTCCTCTGGTTTTCCCTGAGAGCAGGGCTGTGGCTGCTGGTACTTCCTACCCTGGCTTCAGGGCAGGCAGCTTTATAACTCACTCAGGTCAGGCTTGCCATCAGGCTGCGTCCTCACAGGGCACATCCGGCCGTCGGTACCCACAAGAGTTTGGGCCGACCACGTTGCCTATGTGTTTGAGCACAGGGGAAGGTGGCCGTTACCACCGCAGCAAAGCCAGTGTTTTCACACACTGGCTCTTGCCTCAGATTGCGAGTTGTGAGGCAGAGACATTTCTGGTTTTGGGGTGTTCAGTGCCTACCAGCACTGTTGATGGTCCTTTGCAGGGATCAGGCCACCAGACCTACAGCTCATAGGGGGAAACTCATGCTTTTTCAGCCCTGTTCATCAAGGCTCTTCTCACCCCAGCTACAGGATTTTTCCTCTCCTAAGCATGTTGAAGGTTATATTTTCTTCCACTGACAAACTTCCACCTGGCTGATTGCTAATGTCCTTTTCCTCCTGAGCTAATGCTCCTGTCCCTCTGAAGGTCACAACTGTCCCACCACCCCCCTCCTCTCTGCAATCACTGGCTCCTCACTCCCTTCTCTCAACCCAGGAGCTAGAGCAGATGATGTTAATTCTCTGTAATGGGCTAAGCACAAGTGACTACAATCAACCTCCAGGCTGCCCCAGGGTCCCCGCCTGGGTCACCCAAGCCTACCCAGCCCCAACTGTGGCACCTACTGACCCTCCATTACCTGCTCACATATAAACCATTGCAGTTCGTGCTTCTCTCCACCTTGTCTTTACATAACCTTACTTCTAACTCCAATTTTGACCAATGCACCCATCTCCAAGATACTGCCTCAGCCCAGCACAGGCCAAGTGTTTTCCCCCCACATCAGCTGTCCCCTAAAGAAACAGAAAGGGGATTAAAGATAACTTGGCTCCTAGGCTCTCTCTGGCACACAGTACCATCCATTTAACAGGCTCAGAGTAACAAATAGGGAGAAACAGAAAGATGAAATATTGATGTAAGGGGTTTAAGCAGTTTATTCACAAGTAGTTGCATAGGAAAGCAGCAAAGGGATATCTCACAACCCCAAAGAAGAGAGGGGAGCGTTTCTCTCAAAACACTTGTGACCTATCTCATAGCACAAGGTCTTCAGGACAAGAGTAATTTTGCAAAGCAGGCTCTCAGCGTCATGACTGCAGGTAGGCACCTACTGAGCTATCAGTCCCTGCTTGCTCGCAGGAAGTTGCTATCATAAATACCTACTGATTACACATTAAGATGCCGTCTGGTTCAGAGGAACAGCTATATCTGGTCTAAGCACGAGATCCAGTGGACAAGTAGTTTGGACAAGAGTTACCAATTGAGCATATTCCAAATACATCAAAGAAGCACCAAACTAAGGCTTGGAGATGGGCGAGCTGGCTACACACACACACACACACACTGGACTAGCTCAGATGCTTCCAAAATCCTGTGCTGGCATCCTGCTTGCCTTAGCCCAGCCTCCCTTCCAAAAACATATCTTTCACAGGCAGCACGGCAGCTGACAGTTAGCTGTACACTGCACAGGCTACAACAGACAAAAACGAGGAAAACACTCCACTGAAGATCAATTCAAGCTCCAAAATGCTGACCATACACCAGGGCAAGTCTGAAACCAGAAAATGCTTTATTGGAAAGGTACAAAAAACCAGTCACTGCAGCTAAATTTACAGCAATAAATTACGTTGTGGCTGTCAAGAGAAAATAATGGACACATACACAGGGCTATTCGCCTTACAAACAGGAATCCACATTGCTTGGTATATCAATAATTTATTTTATAATAAAAAAGCAGCACAAAAATAAATATTGAAATGAAATTACTGAGTAACCACAGAGGATAGAATGAGCTGGTGATAAAAAAACAACTTTAAACAGAAGACTTCTATCATTAAAAAAATGAAAGCAAGTATCCACCATCTACGGAAACACCCCAGCAGACTGAAATACAGACGAAGGAAAACAAATCCACATTACAAAAGTTTTTTGTTTCTGTTTTGTTTTTAAATAAAAACAATCATGACAATGAAGTTTAAATGATTTGAGAGAGAAAAAAAAAATGCCACCTTCTCCTCCTCCCCGGGTTTGACTTGTCCAGTAGCCTCAATGCTCCTACAGCACGACACCCAGCCCAGCTGCGGCTCACCTCCATGCCAGCTCGCCTGCCAGCACTTCTTCCCCTCCCCAGCTGTCCCTGGAGCTGCGGTGTCCCCAAGGCCTCTACACCGGCGCTTTACAGCCTCCTCCAGCAGATGAAAGAGGTGGGCAAGAGCAGAGATGCTGACTTGCTTCAAAGGAATCTGGAGCTGCTCTAGAGGGAAAGGTTCCCCACTCCCAGCAGAGAGCACAGCAAATGTGTCTGTAAGGACAAAGACGCCCCTGCTGTTGCTGCCCTGTGGTGCCCAGGGACACGCTTCGGGCTTCTTCCAGCTTCCCACTGGGCCTGTGGTACCCACGTCACACTGAGGATGGGGAGCAACCAAAGAAATGCCAGACCCAGGGGAGAGGATTCTCATGCTCAAATGCAGAGCCCCTGCCCCACACGGGGGCAGGGGGCCAAATAAAAGGGGAAGAGTCAGGAGTCCCAGCATCCAAACTACTGCAGCAAAGAGACAGGCGAGAGGTACTGCCATGGAGGAGCGCCATGAGCCAAACAAGCGCTCCTTACCAGGGCTGCCTTTTTGGTTCCGCAGGCGGTAGCTGGCTCCCCACGCGGCGCTTGCCCTGGGTGTCAGACTTGCAAGTGCAGGACGGAGAGAAAAAAAAAAAAAACAAAAATAAAACAAACAGAAAAAAAACAAACCCCAGAGGAATGCAATGCGACAACCCCAAGCTGGAGGGCCCTCCAGTCCAGAGGGTGGAGGAGCTGGGTCTCCAACGTGGTCAACAGCTTTCGGGTCATTCCTCCCTCCACATTACCTTGCAATTCTGATCCCTCTGTGGAAGTTTAGCCAGGACATTTCATTCCCCTCCAGGTCACCACCCAGGGAGCCCTGGACTGGCAATTTCTTTTAATAAAGATTTACAGTATCAAACTTGGAAAAAAAATTATTTTTTTAAGAAAAATCTGTACGATAAAATGTATATAATTATATATTTATATATATATTTCTCTCTCTTTAAATATTTCCACGTGGTCCTTATGGATATCCAATATGGATTACCTACCATGGCTATGGTATCAACAGCTTTAACAACACCCAGGCCTCTTGTTCTTTATCGAGTGACCAGAGATTTAAGTGCCTACCAGCACAAAACTAGCAATCACTTGGACAAGCCTTTGGCACCCTTCCAAGAACTGGAAAAAGAAATACTTGGCCGCAAGGGAAGTGCCACATAAAGATATGTTTCTCAACTCATTCCAATAGCAAGCAGACCCCATGGAACAAAGTTCAACCTCCATCCCCCTCTGAGCAACCGATCCGAGCTCCCTTGCAGGGATCAAGGACAGCCAGAGGGGCGTTCCTATCTAGCCAGGAACATTATGGAGCTCTGGAGCTGTTTTAAAAACTGGAAGCATGTGGGCATTTTCAAGTCAACTGGCCTTTTTCTTTAAAATTTTCATTTAAAGCCCCAACAGTGCCAGAAGTCTCCATTTTGCCTGTTTTTGGAGGCACCTGTAAGGTCTGGGAAAGTTTCCAATGTTTGTGAGTTGGAGAACATGAGAGGACCAGGAAATGACAGTAACATCTTTCTCTTCCTCAGCTTCTGCTGTGGGAGTCAATAACTGGTACTGATACACAGGACATCAATTTGCCTGTTAGGAGATAGGAAGGGAGTGGAGGAGAAATGAGGTAACGCTAAGTGTCATCCAAACTCTACACGTTGGAAAAAAAACACTCGAAGGAAACTCCTTGCTCCCCTCTATAACAGGTGGATCTTGCAGGGGTAACAAGCCTCCAGGAAGCATTTAATTTGCACCCTTTCTGGCTCAATAAGGTCACAAATGCAGATGTTGAGGACTGAATGAGAACCAAGTCTGAGGTTTCTCTTTTCATTAACCTATTTCACAAAGGACCCTTTTGGGAAATCCTGAGACTCCAATGACAAGGTGAAGAGAGGGGAGAGGAAAAAAAAAAGCCAAGCTGACAACTTTTTCCAAAGACAAATAGGCCTTCACTAAAATTCTGCAAACTTAATGCCATTCAAGACAAGACAAAGCCTTGAACAACATACTAAACTGGGTCTTGGATGCCAGTTTACTATCCTTTAAAACAACAGTGGAACTTGATTATTCTCTTTCAGTCCAAAACAAATGTGAATTTTGTGATCTCTGTTTTCTATTCTAGAGCCCAAATCCTCTAAGCTCTTCTCATCTTAAACTTCAGCAATCTCATTCTCTTCTCACCTGTGTGACAACAGGCATCGTCTATTCCACAAGTTTCTGACCTGCCCTGCAAAACTCTCAATCCCTTTTCTTTCCTACTTCAAAAAGAAAAAAAAAACAAAACAAAACACACAAACACCAACAGAGCTATTTTTACAGTGACCTGGAAACATTCGTCTTTTCAGTGCTGTTGCAGAACAGCAGAATCTCTCCTTTTGGCTTCCCACTTCCTGCCCATTGCTGAGCCAGAAATCCCTCTTCTAAACCACTGCTCAGAGCCATATGCACGAATTCTCGATCCCAATTTTACCATCCCCTATGCACACTGATTTTCATCCTGCCCTCTGTGCATCTCTTGGGATAATTCACAGATGCCCAAGAGAAAGTGTCAAGTTTCAGGGTCACATTCACACAGGTTGTCTGAACACTGAGGGTTGTACACTGTACTCTTTGGATCCCAACTTCAGTGCCTGAAACACTACAGAGAGGAAAAGCTCTTACAACTCCCATCCAACCACCTCACAGCCCCTCTCTGGTCATCAAAGACTGGTGAGCCTGGCTCTCCAGCTGGGATAGTCATTGCTTACCTACCAATGCTTTTGTCAAAGAGGAGGCTCTACAACTTCTCTCTTCCTGTCTTTATGCCATTGCCCTCTAGTTACACTTCAGTGCTTTAAAAACATCTTTCTAAAATACTCTGTATAAATCCCTTATCATAGTGCTGATCCCAGCAGAACAGTTCTACCTTCTTGCAGTCAGTTCTGCCTCCTTCTAAGAATACTTCCAGCAGTTTTCCTCCTTGTCTCCCCTTCTCCTCCCCATCACACAGCTCTTCACAGCATTTACTGTGCCTCCTTCCCTTAAGCTTCAGGGAACCCAGAAAGAAGAAAAAAAAAAAAAAAAAGCTGCTACTTCAAGACTGCGGATCATTCGGAAGAAATAAACTGCATAAATATACCCAATTCACAGGCACACCTTAGGGAAGGAGCTATTGGGGAACTTGGTCTGGAATAAAGGAGGCTGCAATGTAGTCTTCATAGGCCACACAGGTGATGGGGCGTATTAAAATATGTAAAATATATATTTTTCCATATTTTAACAGCAATGGATTGAAAACAAAAGGTTATTCCTAATGGGTGTGGTCAGATCCAAGCATTAGTCTCCATTATTCTCCCACTCCATTCACGGCAGGATGAAATTCACTTCAAAAAGCCTATTTCTCTGCCCTCACAACAGCAGATGGAAGTCGGGAGGGGAGGGGAGGGGAGACCTTTCTTACAGGGAGTAGAATGCCACTAAAGGAAACTCTTTTCCATATATTCATCTCACATGATGATTTCTATGGTCCAGCTGTTTCCTGGCTCTTGAGCATCATTCACAAGGACTCCAGAGGCTTCTCAGGTATCTTCTCCCAGCTGGAAAGCTGCCCACGGCCTAGAAGGGGTTGGGGAGGCAGGGGGAAGGAGGAAGCAGATCTTGCTATTTGTACTGCATACAGAGCTCAAATCCTGGACACGAGGTTGATGGAGCCACCGAGTCCAGAGAGAAGCAGCCAGTTAAGTTCCCTTTGTAGATTATTTTTTCTTTTTTTTTTCTTCTTTTTTCCTTTTTATTTTTTTTTCCTTTTTTGCACTTTTGGAAGAGAACTGTTAAAATGCCAATTCTTGACGTGACCAAGGACTCTGGAACAATGCATAAGAGCCTTTTCCCCTCCCCTCTGAAAGGCTGCTAGTTCCCCCACCGAGGGCACTAGGATGCTGCTGAAAACGGCACAGAACTGGATGAGATTTCAGCTGATTTCACGATGGTGATGACACTGGTGGTGGCAACTTTGGTCGGGGTAATAGGCCCTCGCGCCACAGTACGAGCAAAGGTCTGGAGTGCTTCGTACTTGGAGCGCAAGGCGTCCAGCTCTAGCTTCATGCTGCTGTTTTCTCTGGCCAACTTCTCCACCTCTTGCTGCAACTCAACCCGCTGCCTCTCTAGCTCCTCCTTCTGAGTCACACGCTTGATGCGGCAGCTGGCAGCGTAGCCCCTGTTCTTCAGCGTGCGTCTCCGCTGCTTCAGGCGGATGACTTCCTCTTTGGTGAGACCCCTCAGGTGCTGGTTCAGCTCCCGTACGGACATTGACACGAGTTCATCATCACTCAGCACTGGGGCATTCTCTCCTGACTCCTCCTTTACCTGCAAATACCAACAGTACAGGGGTAGCAGCAATGCTATACGAGCAGCTATTCTGGGCGGATAAAGGAGATAGGGTACCCCTCAGCAACATAACCCCCCTACCTGGAAAAAGCCCCCAAAGCACTTTACAGACCACATGCTCCACTAGAGCGTAGCCACAGCTGCGTAGAACACGGCAGGGACCTGAACACTGTATCTCCTGGCTTTGGGTAACCCTCTTAAGTTGGAAAAGCAATCAGCCTTATGCATCCAGTTTGAACTGACAGACAGAGGAAATAGTAAGATTTTGAAGGAGATAAAAGCGGACTGAAATGCCCTGCGTTCCTGTGTCAGGACATGGAAATGAATCCTAAAAATGACACCTTTTCTCAGCATCATGCTGGGACACCTCATATGCTCATTATATACTGGAACACCTTGGCACTCCCAAAAACAGAACAGCCACTTGCACGCAAGGTTTAATTAAACATCTGGTGGCTTTTTGTTGAAGATGCTCATCCAAGCACTGACCGAAACCAACCCTGCTTGCCTTACAGGACCACAACATGATTTTGGTTTTCTGGAGCACAGTCCAGGGAAGTTGTATGCGAGAGACCCCAAGGGATTGTGCCTTTTTCTTATGGATGTCTGCTGCCACAATTATTTTTAGAACCTTTAAGACATCTTTTTTTTGTCTCTTCAGAGATTGCAGAATACCTAGAACGAAAAGCCAAGATACCAGAAAGAAATCTGAACAAAGCATGAACAAAGTGTGCAGGGACAGCCATAAAGCAGGTGTGTCCCAGATGTTTACTGTCCCACGGACCTGTGAGAAAACAGCTTGAAACTTCCTTGCTCCAGTTCATCTCAATTCTGAGAGCGAAAGTAACGTACTCTCAGGCCTGGGAGCATTGGTTTCAGGATGCTGCCAATACTTGTTATAGTCAAAAGTCTCTTGGGTAACAACTGGGATACTCTAGCCTTGATGCAATCCCATACTCGCCAGACTTCTTTCTAGATATCACCAGTATTTCTCTATCCTATCTTCTCAAGAACTTTCCTGTAGATAGTGAGAAATTATATTGGCACCCATTTGCAAGAGTCTCTCCAAAGGGGGGGGGGGGGGGGGGAACACCAGCACCCCTCCCCTGGAATATGGTTCCTTGACACCTTCCCCTGCCACCCAGCATCACCCACTCAGCCTTTCTCCCTACCTTTAATGCCTTGTTCGGTTTGGGATTAGTCGTCATAACCTGAGCACAGTCTTCTGGACAGAACTGCTCAGAAATTGCAACTGAAAAACAAAACAAGATTTTCAGGTTATCATAATCTCAGAGATAACAGTAGGAAAACGATACCAACACACACTCCAAATCCCCAACTCTAAAGCATCATTGAAAGAAACATCACACAACTGTTTAAAATCCTGGGAAGGATTCAGAGATTAGTTTACCCCCTTCAGAAAGAAGGGGAAACGTGCATTGACAAGTGCCCTGCTTTTTAATGCTAAATATCTAATATTTTGTTTTTAAGTACACCAAGATCAAGCAAGGAAGATGGGACTGGGAGGGCAAAAAGGGTACTTGCTCCTGCCTGTAAACAACAGTTATGCTAATAACTGCATACTACCTTGCAACATGCCACCTCTTCTGAGGGGGAGAGCAGAGTTCAGCCTCCCAGGCCCAATCAGTTGTTCATCTCCTTCTGGAGGAATCCCAGACACACAGAATGGTCTATTAGGGACTGAATTAAGACTTACCTCTGCTCATAAAAGGCATTGAAAAGCCACAAGACAACAACTCCCTTCATTCTTATTTTGATTATTATTAACCTAGCCTCAAATTGAATCAGCAGCCCAGAAATAAGCTGCCTAGTTTGTAACCTGCTTTCACAGCCATCCCCACCCAAAAGAGACGCTACTAGAAAACCCGAACAGCAGAAACGAAAGCCCCCAGATAACAAAGCAAGGCAGGTGTTTGCCTCTCCCAGCACACCAAGGCTGTTGCTTCATGATCCTCTCAGCCCACAGGCTGCTAGAGCTAGCCTGCCTGATATTTCTCGTGACGTGGAGGCATGTCCACCGACAGACAGACCGTCCTCTGTCGAGACGCTGCCCTTCACTCTCACCTTAGCTGGCAACTACACCCCTTCGACCAGCGCTTTGGAGAAAATCTACCTGCCTAGACCTCCATCCGAAATCTTCACCCCACCGAAGTGCCAAGGATGAGCCTGGCAGCGCTGCTGTCTGTCAGGTACCTACCACGAGAGAGACGACTGCAGCTGTGACTCCATCACAGCCTCTGCTTATCGCTCCCCCAGCATCTCGGCTACCCCTGCAGGGAGGGCGCGAGGCACTGGCTCCCACACCACGCCGGTGCCCCCTACGCACAGCCGTGGCGGCTTCAAGGGCTGCACACCCAGTGGCACTGCAGAGCGCACAGCCTGTCTGGCGGGAGTCCTCTCCCCCCACCCCACCCCACACCCTCCCCATTCCCACGTCTGCATCGTGTCACACATTCTAATCATTCATGAAAAATCCAGCCAAAGCATCCCAAGCATGATTCCCTTCTGATAGTTGCCATGGTGACCTTGGGAAAGTAGCCAACCCTGAGACAGTCACCATGGAAACAGAGAAGCCCAAAAGCAATAATGACTTCAGGTCATGTCTGTGCAAAGACATCACGAGGTCGTCAGAGAGTAAACAAACTCATTCATTTCTGAAAACAAGGGGTGGAGCTGGCTCAGCTTGCGTTGCTCTCGCTTGAATTTTATCAGTCAAGACACCTCATTGTCATATGACTTGCAGAAAAATCAGGATAAAGAGGGGGAAAAAAAAAACAAATCCCATAAATGCGAAGCTACAAGATACTATCCTAGATATTAGGGTGTGTATTTAGGCACCTCCTCTATTTTTAAGCCTGAGACAGCACAGCTTTCCATGCCTGCTGGAGGAGGGACAAGGACAGCCGCACAGCACACCAGCCAAGATGCTTTGTGATGAATGGACCACTTACAGCAACTGGTGTGCGCTGCATTTTCTAGAGCATCACACAGAGTCCTTCCCATCCCTCCTCCAGTATCAAACCCCACCCTGGGCCCACTTCCAGGAGCCCTTGCCTCCTCCACGGCAGCAGGAGCAGGCTTGGCAGAGGGAAGGAGAGCACCCAGCGCAAAACCCAGTCCCTCGCTGTTAGCACAGCCCCCACCTGCCCACGAAAGCATCCTCAGTTACCGAAGGGAGAGGCCACCTCTGACCTCTGGCTGCTGCAAAACTGCGTATCTCGCACTGGAGTCGATGGCAGACAGAAACGCTCTCCCATGAGAGCGCACGCAGACGGGCGCCTTTTCAGATCTCAGCGCTGCCCTTTCACCGTCCTCCTCTCCATTGCTTCCCCTTCACACTTGGTATTCCCCCCCCGCCCCTACCTCCAAGCCAGAAGCACACACAAACGCACGCACTAGCACAAAGGAGGAAGGAAAAGCTCGTTGTCTTGGCCAAACGGTCCCAGCAAGCTAAGGAGAGCAGAGCGCTGCCAGTGCGTAAAGGAAACGGCCTGCAGCCCCCTCCCTACACACGCACAGCGCCGCGGGCCTTGCAGGCAGTTGGTGCCATAGTTATGCAGTGAGTCACCAGCTGTTTACAGAGTTTGAGAGCTCACATTCCCACAGCATCAGAAACTCTTCCTTCCCCCGGCATCCCCCCTCCCTCGCCACCCCCATCCCTACAAGGAAAGGGGCACACTACAGTCCCACTGGCGGCACTTCGCGCAGTTAAACCGGAAAAGGAAAGTCAAAAAGGAGGGGGAGGCCGAGGACAGACCGGTCACACCCACTGATTACACAAAAAGCCTTTTGATCCTCACCCAATGTGTCTTCAAAGCACTTTCTACACCAGCCGATGGAAAAACTGAACAGACCGCTTGGCTGCACAGAGATGGAAAGAAACGTAAAATATTGTGGAAAACAAGTGCCGAGGGTTGAGATTCCCTCCGGTGGGGGTCACTGTCTGGGCTCGCCTGCCACCCAAAGCAACGCCGCTGCCGCCGCGTTAATAAGCTGCTCCAACTCCACGTGATGAATCCACTTCTGGTCACCTGTTGCTCTGTGTCGCCAAAGCAACATCTCCTTACACTGCACATTCCTCCGCGGACAACACAGACTCCTTCACATTTGGTACGAGTGCACGGTTGGTACCCGAATTAACAGGGGTCTTGTGCTTTACGTATTGCTTTCCTTGCATATCGAAGCGCTCTAAACAGACTGGCTTCCCTCTAAAACGGGTTGGGATCAATCCTATTGCATTGGGGCGAGATGCCAGAGCCCTTCCTGGCACAGACACGAGGAAGGAATTTAAGCCACCACCAGTAATTACGATGTCTGGCCATCTTCACATGCGAGCGGGATGGGGGTCACCCCCACT